AACCTAATTTGTAAGTCTAGGAGGCTATTAAGAAGGCTAATGAAATGGTTAGCTTTTATCACAAGTGGATTTGAATAAAAGAAAGAGGAAGTCTTGTTTCAATTGTACAGGAACTTACTTAAACTGCACCTGAGTGATGTGTGCAGTTTTGTTCTCCTCATCTCAGGAAAGATATTATTGCCAGAGAGTGAGCGTCTACCCAGAATTGTTCCCAGGATGACATGAATGTCCTATGAAGAGAGAGTGGACATATTGGACCTGTATTCTCTGGAGTTTCAAAGAATGGGAGATTATCTCATTGAAATCTATGAAACACTTCAAGGAACAGTCTGGGTAGACACGGGTCAGATGTTTCCCCTATTTAGGGAGTTTAGAACTATGGGGCACAATTTTAAAATAAGGGGGATGCCATTTAGGATTAAGATGAGGAGAATCTATTTTACTTAGTGAATTGTGATTCTTTTCTACCTCAGTGGGCCGTGAAAGCTCAGTCATTGACTATGCTTAAGGTGGAGGTTGATAAATTTCTGATTACCAATGGGTTAAAGGATTATGGAAATAGAGTGGGTAAAAGGCACTGAAAGTTTCCATTAGCCGTAATCATGCTGAATTGCAGACCAGATTCAATGGGCTGAATGGCCTACTCCTGTTCCTATGTTCCGAATCACGGCTATCAGTTGCAGCAAACTGAACATTGAACTCAGATGGATGTATAGTTGATGAACCTCAAATATCTTTTTTTACAGATAAGAATCCATGAGGGAATCCTCTCCCGCACCTCTCAGAAAGTGTCGTAATTTTAAGCTACTTCTCCTTTTCTAGCTCTCCAAGCAATCTGCGAGTTATAATAGTATCCAGTTCCCCAAGTGTAATTATGTGAATGGAGGCATGCATATGAGAAAGCAAGCAGTAGAAAGTGGGTATTGAAGGGGTTTTCAAGGAGGAATATGGTGATAGGCTGAGGAACATGGGCTGAGTCATGGTCAGGAATCTTGTGTCACCTGGTCCTCATCATCCTGTTCTTCACCATGACTGTCATAGTACATAAGAGAAAGGGATTATAGCACCTTGAGCGCTGTCAGAGTGACACAAGAAATTCTCATATAAATGCCTCCCAGTTCACAGTTGGGCATAATTAATTTTCATTTGGTGTAAAAGTGGTGCGACATAACAAATGAGACATTTAGATCCATAGGTGAATGCTAGATGCAAGGCCTGCAAACATTCATAAACATAGAACTAATTGCAATGATGTAAACAGATGTAGTTGCAGTGATATCAAAGTCAGTCAGCTTTGTAACAATGAATAAATTCTTCATCTTATCTCAAAATAATATCAATATCTTACAAGTAACAATTTACAACACTGTCCAATAAACGTTTCCTCAAAAAATAAAAAAAACCCACAATATTTTGATTGCCCAGTTAGTTGCACACTATAAGACTTATTTCTAGATATCTTCCTAATCACCTGCTTGGGGATGTTATTTCATACCTCTGGACAAGGTGATACTTGAACCTGGGCCTCTTGGTTCAGTGGCTGGGATACTACCACTCCACAATCAGAGCCTTAAGACTTGATTCTAAACCTTGACACATAATTCTGTACACCTTGCTATATTAAAACTAGTGTTAATAATAATTACACATTTTCATCACCGAACAACATTTATTCACTATACCTAACAAAAGCTTCCGATGTTGCATAACAACGACATTTTAGAAGTGATAACAACATCCAATATTTGTACGCTTTATTTTTAATACCATAATTACCCTAGGTTGTCAAATAGTTCTGCCACTTTTAAGATTATTAAATGCATGAGACTGCATTATGACATATGACTTTTACCACGCCTACCGAGACTGAAGATGACTAATGATATTAATATTGCCAAAATTTTGCTCTTGCCGCATTGGAGGATTAACAACATCTTTCACTGCTATCAAATAATTACTTTAAAATCATGTGTTATGAACATTATATTACTTATGTATGTTAATGTAGGAATTCTATCTATAAAGATATTACTAGAACATTTCTTGACTCAAGGAAAACAAAAAAAATCAATTCCTGTTTGGCAGTAGACCCTGCATTTCAGGGGTTCCCAAACTGTGCTTGATGTCATGAGCTTCCTCTCTCCCAAGGTAGCAATGGCCTACATGGAATGTGCACTCTGGTAGATCAGCTTCAGGCCTGAAGAATTACATTTCTTTCCTTAACTGAAGTTCAGTGGACATTGCCTAATGAAATGAGCTGCAACAGCCAATTGCTGTACCCAACAGGGGAGGAAAAAAGAATTACTGTCAGTTTTCTGGTAATCCCCTGGCCAACATGCATCTCTTACATCATGCTGCTCTACTTAACCTACAGCTCTCACACTTCTTACCATCTCTCCAGTTCTATGTCCTCACCACAGCTCTCACAACTCTACTCTTCCCCCATCCTCCACAGCTCTTCTCCCCTTCCTCTTTTCTTATACTTCCATTTCTATAGTCACAACTCTATAAATCCCAACTCCTTAGCTCTCACATCATTACCCCTCCAACTCACTGCTGTTACAGCTTTCCGCTTCCTCCCCATAGCTCTCAAAGGTCATTTACCAGGTTAACCTAAGAGGCGACTGCTGAATCATGTTCTGCAGCGCTCTAAGCCTTTGTCCAAAACACTCAAGTATAATTGGAAGATTTTGAAAGGAGCTGCTCCGCCAATCAAAGCCATTTCTCTTCTGTGTTTCCTGCTGACAGGCTCATTATTTAACCTATTAGCAGCAAATGCAATAGAAGAATAGTCTGTGACTGGAGGAGAAATTAAGTGTTTTCACTAAGCTTGAGGCCCAGAGCTCTGTCAGAGGGTCTGCTGGACAGGGAATGCACACACTACCATAGGGAGGAGGGGAATGCGAGTCAGACCACTGGGGCTAGGCTGCCATGTTGAAGAAAGGGAATGAGAGACGGGATGCTAGGATATGGTAAAGGCAAATTCTGTGGATATTGGAAATCTGAAACAAACACAGAAAATGCTGGAGAAATTCAGCAGGTAGATAGAATTCAAAATTCTTCAAAAGAGTCATATCAGGCTCAAAAATGACCACAAACTTCCAGTTACCTGCCACTTCAATAGATCTCTCTGTTCCTATGCAAACATTTCTATCTAGGATCTGCTGCAGTGCCCCAGCAAGGCTCAGTGTAAGCTAGAAGAACAGCATCTGATTTTCCACTTGGGGACCTTGCAATCTTCAGGACTGAATATTGACCACTAATTTTAGGACCTGAACACCTTCTTCCTTGTCCTTTACCCAAGGTCCTGTCATCATATGAACTGCTTTCAGCACAGTCAGCCCACTTGTCATCATATGGTTCCCACTAGCAGCTCTTTTGTCCTGACTTACCATTATCCACCCCTTTGTCTGCTTGTCTTTCTCTCCTCTGGGCTTCATCTCTACCTGTCGCTTTACTGCCCCAACTCTGCCCCTACTACCTTTTCCTAGCAATCATCATTTCTGAACAAGGGTCTCTGGACCCAAAACATTAACTTTGCTTTCTCTCCACAGATGCGGTCAAGCCTGCTGAGTTTTTCCAGCTTTCTCTGTGTTTGTGCCTTGCTGGTGTGAGAGAATAAAAGTCAAGCATACACACTAGCAAAGTAAAATTAGCAGATGCTTAAGAGTTATTTTTTGTCTATCTTCCCAGAAACTGAGTAATGCCTACATCACCCTCTTCTCTGATGACCCGGACTTGGGGGCCTTGTCTTTTCTCTCTCGAGCTTCTTCATAACCAAGAAGGTTTTATTAGTTAGCCATCAGGTTAGCTTTCTTTCTTAATTACAGATTTATTAAATTCAAATTTCACCATCTGTCAGGGTGGGATTCAAACCCATGTCCTCAGACCATTAGCCTGACTTTCTGGCTTATAACTCAGTGTCACTGTCACAACGTTAACAGCATCCCCCTGCTCTGATGCTTGGCACTTTTAATGATCATTCTTATTAATTACTCATTTAAATGATCAATTCATTGCTTTGCAATTTTTTTCCCTGTAATGAATCTTTACTGTTGTGGCAGTCCTGATCTTCTGGCTGAGTAGTGAGAGAAATATTGACATGTAGTTGGCAGCTTGCAAAAAGGTTGGACAATCCTGCACTACACATTCCAGTTCCCATAGTTGTCACAATTCTACACATTCCCACAGCTCTCATAGCTCTTATCATTCCAGATACTCTCATAATTTTACCACCCTCCCCACTGCCAACCACAGCTGTCACAATTCTACAATCCCTCCCTCACAACTCTCATAACCCTATCCCACCCATACAGCTGTACTTGAACAGCTCTCACAGGTCTATTCCCACCCCTGTAATAGATATCACAGCTTTTCCACACCTTCTCAGCTCTATGCTATACTCTCACACCTCTATCCCAACAGCTACATCTCCAGCACCACCTTCCCAACACCACAACCATAGCTCTCACACATCTCTCCACCTTCAGCTTTCACAAATCTACACTCTCACCACACAGCTGTATATGTCTCCCAGAGCACTTACGAATCCACCCCACCCTGCCTCAGTTCCCACACCTCCACTGCCACATCTCCCAAGCCACCCCACAGCTCCCACACCTCTAACTCTTACAGTTTTCATTCTAGGATCAAATTTAAATTTCAGTGTCAAAATGGGGTCAAGGTGGGAAAAGGTATGAGAATTATTGCTCCAGATGCATTTACTTTTCAGTATGATCAATGTAATGCAACCATTTCAAAGTATTTGGTATTGAAATTGTTTTGATTTTCTTTCAGTACAAAACTTGTTTGTTTGAAGATACCTGAAGATTAGTTATCTGAAATCACTATGAATTCTGACATCTTTAGAAGATCCAGGATTAGCAAACTTCAAAACCAATCAATTTTATGAAGTTATAAAATGATTTATATTATGAATTCAATGAGCTATTTTGCCCCTCTGCAGGGCAAATTATCTTAAAGTTCTCCAGGAAACTTACTTCATTTTGGGTTTTGTATATGGCTTCAAGTTCTTTAAACTTGGCTTCAATATCTTCAACAATCTTCCCAGCTTGTGTAACTTTTTTTAGAACATTTTCTTTCTTCTTTTCAGCAGCCTCTTTAATACGATGTAGCTCATCAGCCTCTGCTTTAGCCTTGGCCTATGTTTGGACAACAGTAATATAGTATAATTATATCTACAAATACCTGAGGAATAGATATTTGTTTTAAAAGACTGTTTTCAATATTAATGCTTTATTCATAAATAAGTTAGTGTGAGTGTATTCATGGGTACATCACAGTAAATCAGTCGGATTTTAAGTATGCTCCCACTTCAGTGGTGTGTTGGGAAGTATGGTGGGGACAGCTTTTAAATTGCAGCGTGACCCTCTCAAGACCTTTCTGCCGATTCTCCCTTTTTACTTGGAAAGGGCAGGTGCAGGCAGCCTGGGCTTCCTTTGGTCTATTGAGACCAATGACCATGTAAGTACCCTTTTCTGCCTCTGCTGCTATTTTACCCCTGGCAAGGGGAGGCCTACTGCAGGTGGGCAGCTTAGCAGCTGTCAATGCATTGGTTCGTGACAGGTAATCGGGTGGAAAGGAATGTGAACTCCTGTACCCATTGGATGCATTCTGTCACTTACACACACACACATACACACACCGACGCATGCACGCACAACTTTTCCGCCCCCTTTAACTCAGGCTCTCAGACCTGGCCCCTGATGTCTGGCTGGGATCTGCCAGGCCTCACCAATTTCCCAGACTTGATGCACAGCTTTGTAACGTTCTCTCATTAATGGCTGCTTGCAGTCCCAACAATAGCCAATGCTTTAACATAGAGCTGCTGTAAACTATAGATTGGTTGGCAGCTTTCTGAGTGGGACTCACTGCAAGATGGGTGCAGAAGTCTCACCATGAGCCAATCAGCACTGGACCCAGCAAAAAATGGCCTCAGGGCCACCTACATTTTAGTAAGCAGGTTTCCAACTGACCTTTAGTCAGGGTAGGGGAAGAGGGTAGGGAATATGGTAACCTGTGATACTCTGCTTTATAATAAATACAGTAGAAATGCTAATAATACAGATTGCATTATGATAGAAAGTGTTAACCAGCTCTAAGAAGTAGACTCACAAAGCTTATTCTTTATCCTGGCTGCAGCACAACTATATATGTTGAGGCAAAAAGCAAGTTTAATAAATTCAGGAATTTCCTTATTATTAATGCTTTAAGATATTAGCAGAAGATTGATAGGACACTTAAAAGCCACAGAATTCCATCCTGAACTGAGTTCAGACATTCTAGTTTCGCACCTTCAATATTGTCAATAACAGTGTCTTATGCAGATGGATACCTTAGGTCCGTTACCTGAAGTTTTGCGCGCAGCATCATTGTGTCTTTGATTCTTTTCTTTAATTTTTCAGTCTCAGCCTATTGGTGTAAACAAAAGCAGATTTCAAAATGGATTGTAACTGGTATTGCACAATTGCAGGGCCAGGGACAAAAATCACTCCATTGCTGCTCCTGGCCTGCATCCCAGCCCCCAACCTCAGTGTAGTGGGCCCTCCCCTACTCACGCACCACCACAAGCACAGCGGTCCTGCCACACACCCTCCCACCCTCCACAAACCAAACACAGCAGCACTGCTCCCCTCAGCTGAGCGCAGTGTACTAGAAACCCAAGCCCTGGTTTACTGAGCCCTGATATACTGCTATCTTAAATTCTTCCCTGGGCCTTGTACAAATGGAATGGACTTTCCATGGCTCACATTCTCAAGGCTACAATCACTCACTCCAACACTGCCACTGCATATATCTCTCACTAAAATTCACGGACCTCAATTGCATACAGTACGCCCACTCGATGACTCTCACTGAACTCATCTTCCAAACTAACCCCACTTGACCTCTGCACTTCCTACTCACATACTCTGGACACCTCACCCACCCTTGCATCATCACGAGCACATCTACTGTCCACTTCCATCATGCTCAATCCGTCTCTTTGTCTCAGTACAGGAAAAAATCTCTCACAACCAGGTTGAGATGGCCAAGACAGGCCACAGGGTGGTGCACAATAAGTTCCTCCCTCCATATGATGAAAAATTGCTGGAGTTAGCCAGAGAAGATTGCAATTGCTCATGTGGGGACACTGTGACCTTCATGGATAGCCAACTGAGTGAGTTTCACTGCACTGTGTATGCATCTTTCCTATTAAAACCAGTGCTAAATCACACTTATTCTGAACCACTTTTTGCTTTTTTTCCCATAAATAATTCCGTCTCTTCTCTTATGCAATGACCTATAGCAAGCAGAAGGGAAGCACCACTAATGCTCACCTCAGTCTCCACCTCTGCAGAGGAAATCAATCAACCCTGATAGGACGAACCGGCAACACTTTTGCCTGTATCTCCACCGGCTCAGAGACTTTCACCTCAGTAGGTAATCTTTCTAGGTTAGATGTGCTCCAATCTGGTGAGCACATCACTGACAAATCTCCATAGCTAGCTGAGGAATAATCATCCTAGGCCATTGTCTCAGAGGAATGCTGGTAACAAGGCACATTTTCAGCACCGGGCAGAAAAACATTCCTGTGGTATCAGTCACTTGTGATTTTGTCAAAATGTACAGAGAGACTCAGCAACAGCAGGTAGGTTTATCAGAGCTGTTCCTGAACCACCAAGGAGACCCAGGGCCAGCACAATCAAGTTTCTGTCAGATATGTGCACAGACCTGCACCAAATTCAGCTCACTTTTCCTCGACAGGTTCTAATTCTATTCTATAAGATTTTATCTGACCCCTCCAGCCCAATCAAAGCTCTAGTGCAGTGCATGTTCCTCCAAGTCAATATCCTAATCCTCAGAGAACTGCTCTTGATTCCCATTTTATCTGCATCCATGGCATCCATGACATTTCCCCTCTGGTGGCTCCGGTTATAAAGGGCACAACTTGTCACAATGACCTAGTACACCCATTCTGTGCAATACTGTGAGGCTCCACTATTACAATAAAGGATCCAAAGGTCATCTTGAGGAGGTCTTTGGTCTTTTCCACAGTGGCCCTGGTGGAAGAGTGTGCAGCACTGTTATAACTATTTTGTCTCAGTTTGAAGTTCATAAAGGTTTCATCAGCTACATTTGGAGGGCATAGCTATTGCCTCCCAGCAGCCAGCCTTTGACAGCCCAAGGACCTTGCAAGGACACAAGAACCTGTGAGTTCTCTAGTATAAGCACATCGGGGCAGATCCCAGGATATCCGGTTCACAACTGCAGAATTTGACATCTACGAACAATTGTTGAACTCTACAGATTGATAATGAAGGCTCCCAAAGCGATGTAGTTACAGTCTATATTGCCCTGCTTGTCTCTCCTTGACATGGGGGAAGGATATAAACTGGTATAATCTGGAGAGAACGTGAAACTATGAAACCATTGTCAATTGTTGAAAAAACCCATTTGATTTACTGATATCCTTTAGGGAAGGAAACTGCCATTCTTAACTGGACTGTCCTACATGTGACTACAGACCAAAAGGAATATGGATAATTCTTAACTGCCATATGGGCAGTTAGGGATGGGCAATAAATGCTCGCCTAGCCAGCAATGCCCATGTCCTGTAAATGAACAAAAAAATGTTTTTGCCCACTCACTTAACCTGCCTGTGACCTTCTGTAGACTCTTCCTGCAATCCTCACCACTTGCTTTCCCACTTCTTTTGTGTTATCTGCAAAATTGGTGATAGTACATTCACTTGCCTCTTCCAAGTTATTAGCATATATTGTAAATAATTGTGGGTCCATTGATCTCTGTGGCACTCCACTGGGTACAGGTTGGCCCATTTATCTCAGATCTCTATCTTCACTTAGTTAGCCATTCCTCTATCTGTGCTAATAACTATTTCCAACACCATGGCTCTTATCTTATTAAGTAATTATGTCTAGTACCTCATCTAATGCATTTTGGAAATCCACATATATACCTACTGGTTCCCCTTTATGTATCTTGCTTGATACCTCCTCAAAGAATTCTGATAGATTTGTCAAGCATGATTTCCCCTTTATGAAGCCACGTTGACTCTGTTTGATCATATTAAACATTTCTATATGTTCTACTATCTCATCCTTTAGAACAGAATCTGGTGTTTTTCCAATAAAAGCTGTTAAGCTAGTTGGCCTTTTATCTTTTTCTTTCGTCTGCCTCCATTTTTGAATAAAGGTGTTACATTGTCAGTTCTCCAATCCGCAGAGACTTCTTTGCCTCTTCAGAACAATTCAATGAACATATGATTTGACTAATCAACCAATCTCTCAAAAAGCCCATGCACCTGACATGACACCTGGGCAAAAGTTCATACATGCTTTGCTCAAATATGTCTGAGACAGACCAAGATCAGTCACAATCATTCTGGGTAGCAACTCAACTCAAAGCTTTTGTGACAATAGTATGGCTTTAAGAGGTGTATTTTATCTTTTCTTTATGAAGAGAGGGTGAAACAATGGTGTCAAGCAGTCTGGTTCAATTAAATAAAGTAAACACATTAGGAGACATTGGGTTTTTCTAAAGTTGGAACAATTGAAGTAGCTTTAAAGGATGGGATCATGCTCCCACAAAACCAGGATTTTCTATTGGGGGTTTGGAAGCTGCTATACATCTCTTCCTGCTACACCAAAATGCTTGAGTACTCTCTCTCTCTCTCTCTCAGAGATTTCTCTCGATGTCTTTCCTCCTGGACTGGAGAACTACATGTGACAATCCATTTTGCTGAATTTGCCTTTGCTAAGGGTATATTTATGGGATGTTACTATATTGGAACTGTTGCTGGTTAGTAGTTAAGTAATCTTTTATTCTATTGAGTTTTCTAATAGAGTCATGTCATTCGAACTTTTCTTTCTTTTGTTTGAATTTTAACTACAGTGTAAGAATAAAATGTGTTTTTGCTTCCAGCCTGGTAGTTGACCAACTGAATTTCATCCAGAACACAACATCTTATATTTGCCTTTAAAAATAATAACTTAGGGTCTAGGCTATCTTCTTAATATTATATATTTTGAGATGGTTTAGTCTGGTCCATAACACTTTGCAATCTCTACAAGCTGATAGCCAAGACTAAGGTGACCCTTCACCATATCCATAAATTACAATATGCCAAGAACTGTGCCATTTGACTTACACTGCAAGTGAAAATCAGACCACCTTCAATCTCATCAACTCTGTACACAATAAGATTTGTCTCCTAATCAACATTAATGAGACAAAAATCCACTTCAAGCCCTGCCCCAGACAAGGACCTAAACACCCAGATAGTATTATTGATGGGAAAACTTTAGAATTCATTGAATACTTTTCATATCTCAGCAACAACCTTACTGAAAATGTTACCAAATAGGGGATCCAGCTCAGAATCTTGTGCCAGCTGTGATGAAAGGTGATTTTTATATACAAATTTATTTTAGAGGTTGGATTTTGATAATGTGATAATGTCACTGGATTAGTAATCTAGAACTGCATGCTAATTTTTGATGGTATAGATTCAAATCCCAAAATGGCAGGGCACTTAGCTCTTCAGGCCTACTCTATTAAATAAGATCATGATTGTGACCTCAACTCCAACATTCTTGCTTATCTCTGGGAATCTTTGAGCGCCTTCTTAGTCAAGAAGCCCATTTTTGGATTAAGGCAGTAATGAGATCAGGAACTGAATGGTCACGGCAGAATCCAATCTGAGTGTCAGTCATCAGGTTATTGCTGAACAAGTGAGATTTGATAGCACTGTCGACTATCACTTCCATCATTTTGCTGATGATCAAGAACTTTCTGATAAGGCATAACTGGTCATGTCAGATTTGTCCTTTTTTTGTGGAGAGGACATATCTGGGCAATTTTCTACATTTCTGTGTAGCTAATGATATTGTAGCTGTATTGGAACAGTTGGCTTGGGCACAGCAAATTCTGGATCCCAAGTCTTCATTACTATTGCTGGAATGTTGTTAGGACATTGAGCCCTTCATTATCCTATACCTTCAGCCACTTCATGTTATAACATTAATGAAGTGAACTGCATTTGCTGAGGACTTGCAACTGTGATGCTGGGAACCTCAAGAGAAGGTAAAAATGGATCATCCACTCGGTACTTCTACCTGAGGATGGATGCAAATGCTTTGTATATGTAGATGCCATAAACCCATATCGACACCCTATTCAAAACAGCATCAATGGCCTGCACTCTGTGAATGCCATTTTGAAATTAAAATAGCATCTGTAGTCTCAAACAATTGGTGCTAGGGGGCCAAACTTTGCAGCCTGTCTTCAATGTAAGACAGCTGCAATTGAAACAGAAAAAGCAAACTGTGAACAACACCACAAAAATGTGGAAAAACACCAAGGACTATACAAACTCAACACTTGTTGCCGAAGAGCTCTTCATCATAATGGATTCCTCCAAATCCAATTTATCATAATGTATCATATACCTGATATTAACGTGATGCACAAAAAAGTGTTTTAATAATGCCTTTAAGAAAAGTATATGCCTCCAGTTAAATAAGGGTTAGTCTGCTTCTCATAGTAAGGCTGAACACATGGTCACCCAGATTGCCTTGGTAACTGTGGGTGGAATTTTTCTCTGCTGAAAAGTACCTGGGAACATGGCAGGACGGTAGGGTAATCATGTGGACTGGTGTTGGAGAAATACCCATTGCAGAGATTATGTTCATTCAATCCCTACAGTATGGAAACAGGCATTCATCCCTACAGGTCCACACCGGCTCTCCAAAGAGCATTCCACCCAAACACATCCCCATGGCTAACATACAGATCCCTGGGTCCTATGGGGCAATTTAGCATGGCTAATCCACGTAACTTGCACATCTTTGGACTGTGGGAAGAAACTGGAGCACCCGGAGGAAACCCATGCACAGATACAGGGAGAATGTGCAAACTCCACACAGACAGTCGCCCGAGGCTGGAATCAAACCCAGGTTCCTGGCACTGTGAGGCAGCAGTGCTAACCACTGAGCCACATGCCACCCAGCATGTTCTGGGTAGACATGCTCAAGCCTAACTTTCCCACTCTGTGTCAATTGACACATTCTGGCATATAGCCCACCAGCAGCCAATCAGCTGTCAGGTTTGCACAAGATCTGCAGGCTTTCTTGGAAAATTCACCAATATAAATAAGAAGCTAAAACTGGAGCAAGACCTAGTGTAGGATCTCAATACCTGCTGGTCAGTATCTATGTGTTGCATCCTTAAAAATTTCAAATTTTTATAAAAAATATATATAAACTAGTTGAATTATACAGTGGCATGTAACAACTGATCTTTAAGTTTTGCCATTGAACAAAATGTATAAGGTAAATTATCACAAATTGATTCAATTAAGTTGCATAGCTGCAGTCTAAATTGAAAGTACTGTCAAACAGACTTTTATCTCAAATTTCAACAAACTTTGCATGTATTAAAACAATTCAACAGCACTCTTGTGGCACAGTGGTAGTGCTCTGTTTCCAAGCCAGGAGGCCTGGATTCAAGTTCCACCTGGTATGGTGTAGGTGTGTAATAACGCTTCTGAACAGGTTGATTTAAAAATGTCTAAAACCATTTAAGATCAACTTGTTGGATTATAAACGATGTTAGCACTAATCCACTGAAACCAAAATGTACTGAATTTTGGAAATAATATTAATCACTTACCTTTAACTGATCTTCCTGATCGACTGATGACTTTGTCAGCATCGACAACTTTGCTTTCACTGCACTTTGAGTCCTCTCCACTTGGGAGAGCTGTTTCTTCACAGTGGCGAGCTTGGTATTATTCATCTTTACAGCTTCCTGCATTTGCCGGATTTCTTTCTTCATTTTATTTCTTTCCTGCCGACTTTAACATATGCTTTCAATTAAAAATAGATAAAGTACTGATGGCTCAACAAAAATCAAATTATTTTACATACCTTTCTTTAATGTCGTTGTTGAAGGTTTCAATATTCAATTCAAGTTCTCTGTTTGCTTTCTCCAAATCCCTAAATTCAAGTACTGTTTTTACAAGGTCTCTCTGTTGTTGTGACAATTCAGTTCTTCCAATTGTTGTCTGTATAAACATAAGATGAATAAAGTTATTTCAACTAGAAGCGATAACAAAGCATTCACCAGCAAGAAGCTCACTAAGTGAAAATAATCCATTATTCAACACATACATGAGTTACATGTAAAATAAGATATTTTCTGTATAAGAAGTACCAAGCATTGATCTGGAGCATTTCAAATTTTAACATATAAATAAGTTGCTCAATTATCAATCTTCTCTTGGGCAAAATGTGAGTCAGCTTTCCAGTCCAATAAACAGGGACAGGATGTGGCAAGAAGTAGGTTGCAATACCACAAAGAACTAAGTTTTACTGTGTGATCATCAGGAAGCCAAACATTTGGATATCTACAGATATGAGGAGAATGTTATCAGCAGCAAAGTCTGCAGTCAACTGTGATGCACCTTTTAGGAAGAGGCTTTAGTTTATTTACAGAGAGCCGGAGTCAGGATATCATCTGGAACAAAGAATTGCCAGTGAGTGGGTAACTTCTTTAATGGAGATTAAAATAGTAGAAGAAACATTTTGAAAGAAACAATATAAAAGCTAATAACATCAAACACAACATGAGTTTCTGCCTGTAACTTCTTAAACTGTCAATTCCCAATATTGGTTGAATTACTGGACCAAAACAAAGCAAAGTCAAATGATAATTCCTAAGAAACCAATAAGGTAGAGGAAAAATTGGTGTGTGTTGGAAGTGTTAAAAGATAAAAACAAATTAAAATAAGAGAAAGTATATTCTTTTTTTCCATTCCTCACTAGTATTGCCTGCTCTGGAGGCATCCATTTAAATGGAGTGAGGATAATTGGAGTTTACAATGAGCAGGTCATCTGGTCTACTAGATCACAACTTTTCTTTGCATTGCACAGTTACGAGATTAAAATGTCCCAATGTCTCAAGGCATCTCACAAGAGCATTATCACAAATTTTGACAGCAAGCCACAAACGTTGATATTAGGACAGACAGAAGTATATTTTAAGAAAGATGCAGAGTTGTAAGAACATCAGAAGAAACAGACAAATAGGATTAAGGCCTTCAATCTGGTTCAATCTTCGTGCTTGATGAGTATCGTATCTTCATCTATTGGCTATAACCATAACACTTAACAGTTGACTGACAAAAGCAGTTTTCATAAATTTAACTGATCTAATCTCAACAAATGTTAGGAATACAAAGTTATAAATTTCCACTGTGTGAAGAATTGCTTCCCGCCATCATTCCAACAATTTAGTGCAAATTAAATGTGTCCCTTATCCTGGAACTCAAACAGTAGACAACATAGTTCTCTCTACTTATATTGTTAAATCTTAAGCATCTTAAACAACTCAATTAGACAGTCACTTATTCTTCTGTATTCAAAGAAATACATGCCTAATGTAGGCAACATATCCTCACAATTTAACGCTCTTATATCACTTAACCCTCTTATATCACTCTAGTGAATTTGTGATGCACCCTCTTCAAGGCTAACATATCCTTCCTAAGAAACAATACCCAGAATGAATGCAGTACTCCAACTGGAGGTTTATCATAGCTCTAATACCTTCCTATTTCCAGTCCCTTGTGAAAAAATGTCAACATAGTTTTTCTATTTATTTTTACACGCATCATTCGCTTTCTGAACATGAAGTTTTAAATTCCTGAATCCCATGGCAAATAAAAAATATAGTTAACTTGATCAAAATGAAAATGTCAATTACAAGATTTTCTTGAATTAAATAAACAGAAATTTCATTATCTGCTCACACTGAGAAAAAAGTACAAAATATGACATCAAACACAGGTAATAAATTTAAAAAGGAGAAAGTACATAACTCCTAAGAAATTAATAAGGTAGAGGAAAAATTGGTGTGTGTTGGAAGTGTTAAAAGACAAAAAAAGATAGAAAGAATAAAGCCTATGCAGTTTAAAAAACATTAGTGTCTTTGAGGTATCCTATGTTTAACCTGACACCACAGTTGTTTACTTGCTGATGGGCATTTTTAATGGTGACAAACTTTGAAGATATCTTTGAGTTGTCAGTAAATTGTTGTTTCCTCAATTTGCTTTTTCACTGGTTGTCTGAGATGAAACAGTGAGAGGCTAAGGAACTTCTAGTTCTGGTTATTACTAATTCATGCTTCCTTTGCATGCGCTGCTCTACCTGTCACACCACGGCACAAATTTTATTGAGAGGTGGTAACCTTGCATATCCCATCTTTCACCAAACTCCAGCTGAGAAGCTGGGGCCAGCTCCAATAAAATAGTCTATTGTTCGCTGTTGCCAGTTATGCCACTAGAAGTAGCCAATGCTGGATGACAAAGTCACCAGTGCCTAGGAACCTTGGAGCCAAAGACGTAGGTGAGATCGTGGTTTTGCTGGGGCAGGATGGCAGGTCCCAGTGTGAAGCCAGATTCAAAAGGGTAGTTTAAACAAGCCAGTGGCAAACCTTGTGGGGTGTGGCGTCTGTTGCTGATAGGCTTCCTGTCCAGGAGGAAATCCTTCAACCTAGAAATAGGAAACCAGATGCTACATGATGTTGATACCTCCTGCTGCTGGTAAAATACCTGCAGCACCAGGAAGAATCCCTTATTTGGCAATTAGTTCAATAGAAGATGCACCATCTATCACCTTCCCTGTCACTGGTAAAATACCAGTGGAGGTAGCAGGGGCAAATAGTTACTCAATTTTACAGATTCCTAGACCACTCCCACACGTGTCAACTTATATCACCTTAAAAAGTATACTTTTAAGATCAGAACCTGATTTTCCAGTTTGCAAGTGCTTCCTCTGGTGGTTAATCTATCCAAATAAAACCTCTATATGATTTAAATAGTTGACCAGACTACTGCTCCCTAATGACCAACTGTCCTGGCCCTTTCAGGTTTCTGATGATTATAGTGGGAAGTGTGTCACTCAAGTGATGCTCAGACTTGCCTTTGGGATGTAAACAATGGTGGTACATGTTATCTTGGATTATTATTGCCAAGCAATTTTCCCACCTCAAACTAGTTTTAACAAGACTCACAAAAGTTCAACCCTCAACTAGAAAAATGGACTTTTCTTGTTTTCCAAGACCTTCATAAAAGTGAACGGTCTCAGTCTTATCTTGACAGGCCCAGATACTGAATTCCTTTGTTAACCATTTGCAGGTGGGTGAACTTGTCTTCAAAAACATTTGTTTTCAACCCTTGTTCATTTTTGATCATTGTTGTTTCCCTTCCCTTCTTCAATCATCTCTCTAAGTACCGTCTACAATTGAGTATATAAATCGAATCATTGCAAATACTAAGAATTATTGGATTCTAGGACCAAAACCTATGAGAACTAATAACCAAGAAATATATTAATAAGAAAATGAGTTAATCTTAAATTCTAAAATCACTATTTCTTCCCTGTTGTTGGAGCTCCTTTCTTAACAGAACATTGGTGTACCTACACCCTAAGGACTACAGAGGTTCAAGAAGGTAACTCACCACCACCTTTTCAAAGACAGTTATGGATAGGCAATAAATGCTGGCCCAGTCACTGACACTCACATTCCATGGATAAATAGAGGAAAAAGACTAACTGAAAGTAACTCTGGTAAACTATTTGCTCAAGGTCTGAAACGGCAGAGAGGCATAAATTGGACAAGCACTTATAGCAAAAGCTCATTTATGTTACAGTCATAACAACATAGAAAGAGGTCTTGTGGAGCAATTCAGCCTGTTCTATTTCACTAATCTAACCACTGAACTCTCCAAATTTATTTCTCTCAGATGTATTCCCAATTTTTAAAATTTATTGATCGTCTTTGCTTACACCACTCTTGTAGACAGGGTTCCAAGTTCATACCACTCATTGCATAAAACATTATTCTTTACATTTATTTATAACTCTTGTCCAAAAGTCTTAAATTTGTGTCAGCTATTCCTTGTACTATCAGCTAATAGAACAGTTTTACTTTGCCCATCATGACATAATCTTGTATACCTGCAACAATTTTCGTTTTAATTTTGCTCCGAGGAGAGAAAAGCCACCTTCAAAATGACTGGTTTATTAGGAACAAAACTCATTCTTAAGTCAAGTGGCAAACATTAGTTAACAAGTAAGCTATAATCCAGAATTAAAATTATATCCTCTTACTTTCACACAGATACAACACAAAAAAACAAGCCTTTGCCAATTTTTTGACTTTAAGAAAATAAAACAAAAAGTTGGGGGGAGTGAAATGGCTGCTAAATGGGAAAGACATCAAACAGATATAGCAATTTGAAATTGGGCATCCATGAGACCCCATGGGCCATCTGCAGCAGAATTGTATGTGACGTCAAGCCTTGTTCAATGAAAAGTGAAGGAGGAAATGTCCGGAGCAGAAGCAGACTTACCCAAAATGAAGCGACAATACAGGACAACCTGCATGACAAACAACACAAGCAGTATGTTGTATGCAAGAGACAGGGCTAAGCAATCCCACAACCAACAGATCAGATCTAAGCTCTGCAGTCCTGCCATATACATTCACAGAGTGGTAGACAATTAAATGGCCAGCAGGGGAGGAGGAGACACCACAAATATTCCCATCCTCAACAATGAAAGAGCTGAACACTCGTGTTATGATACTATCTCAACAAATGTTATTACTTTGTTTCTATCTCCACTATTTAATGCCTGCAGTAAAAGGATGTCAATATGTTATGAGTGACTTTAATCAACATGTCTACTGAAAAAATTAGACTGACTATAGTAACCTGGATGAGGAGCTCATAAAATGCTCTCAAGATAGTTTCTTAGAGCAGTATGTATTGGAACTGATTGAAGAGGTTGTATTAGATTAGATTTTGTGTAATGTGACAAGATTAATTCATGACCTCACAGTTAAGCTACCCCTACATAGTGGCAACCAGAATATGATTAGATTTTACATCCACTTTGAAAGGGAGAAGATTGTAGGTTATGAATAGATTTTAAACTTAAATAAGAGCACCTAATATGGCCATAAAAACTGAGCTAGCTTACGTGAATTACCATACTAGGC